TATTTTGAGGAAGGGAGAAGATGAGTCACTATGGTCAACACACAGAGTACCCAATCGGACTCTGCATACTTACCGTTTCAAGCATTCTGACCTGATAAAAAACAACAAGAACTCCACTGCTCCCGGTTTGNAACACAAAGTTACTGAAATTTGTCGAGGCTCTAGCCATTCGTACCCTCAAAACCGATCTATGCAAACAACGTGAATAGTTGATCACATTAGCTTTGCCTTGGTGATTATCCCTCCCCCACCGTCTCTCGTTCTTTGTGTGACGGTGTCGTGTTGTGCGTTGTGATTAGCAATCATGTGTTCATTTCACGGTAGTTATCTCACTGACTATATAAAAATGACTTTGACTTCAGTATGCACGTGTACAGATGTAGCGAAATGACCATGGATACATTGTGCAAACCCATGTTTCTGACTTCTTTATTCAAACCATTTGCTATGTCTAGTAGACGGGTGAAAACAGAAATGAATTGGGAATCAGTGATGAGTGAGGAGCGCTCGGATCGATGTTAATTAAGTTGTAACTGCTAACGAAGGGGTTGAAAATGGAGATTTGCCCGACACCAACTCAGGTGAGTGTCCCTTCAAGACGTCTGATAAGCTGTTTCTTAACTATCATTCAACCTCGAAGCAATTGAATGCTGAGTAAATCTTACTGAGGACATTACAGGAAACTGGCGGTGAACCACCGTCCGCAGTAGGTTGTTCATCAGCCTGTTTGAAGAGGGCTGCACCCTCATTGAATCCTTGGGTCCCGAGTATTCTCTTTGCTGGGATCTATATAATGCAGTGCGATAGCATGAATGGTAGAGGCGCATAACTGCCCCACTTTAGTTTTGGATTCACACTACTCGTTAGTAATAATTTAAGTAGATTGCTTAATCATCACCTTAAAAATCTATAAAACGTTTGTTGATTTACCTCCGTTTTGTGACTTTCTGTGCGTGTTCGACTGATGATAACTTGTGCAGTTATTCCAATATCTTTTATTGTGAAATTTGATGACTTTTGTCGCTGCGTTGAGGCATTTCTTGCGGATGACCATCCATCGCGTTGGAAAGTAGGCACTCGAGGCATATGGATGGGTTTAGCCGTTGCATTAGTTGTCTCTGTGATCAGACTACTGGGAGGGGGCTCGATTCTGGCCGAACGAACGATAAGGCGATATCCATAGGGAAGAGGTGCATATGGGGGCTTTGTCGGGGAAATCAAACGGATACCAAGGGTGTTGCGCATTGCGTTGCGTTGATTCCATGAAGGTTGTTGAACCACAGAGGTTTTGTTCTGTTGCCTCGTTGGATGCCGTAATGGTATTTTTTTCGACTGTTCGTCTGAGTCCTCCTCCGGAAAGAGTGTAACTTGCAACTGTCCCCGCTGTGGAACACCGGCTCTTGCCATAGTGATTTTTACCCTATTTTGGCGCTTGAAAGTGTGAGAAACGGAGGCAAGTTGCTTACTATGGCAACATGTGATTCAATAAACAGGAAAAATTATCAATGAATACTGTTAGGTGCTGAAAAACACACCTGTGTCGTACGTGAAACATTATTATTTTGACGTTCGCATTTTACGTGATGATTGCAGTTGCGTTTTCGTTTTCCGTTTTGTTTCCATCTGTCTATTTCCTATGATACTCAATCTTCCATCAATCTCTTTAGCTGTTTAATAAAGTCGATAAACCAAAACTAATGAGATACTGATTAATAGCAAAAAAGTGTTTCACACAATGACCAACATCGTGTATTAGAGAATGGGGACTCTATAGTGGTGCGCATTGTTATGACTCCTACGGCACTGGAACAGTAAACCTTTGTGTGACCGGTGAGACATCTTATCCGTGAATTACACTGCTGAGTTCAACACTTTGAGAGCACATGAACGCATAATTTTATCTGGCACCGGGACCAGGATAATCAAGAACGCCCTGGCCCCAGGTGGAAGCTTGCTTTTGCATTCTGGAGGGTTGAAGCCTGCCACGATCCCTGATCGGACTCGCTCGGGCGCGTAGTTTTGCCAGTGAGGAGGTCTTCAGACCATTCCTTTAGACGGTATTGGGTAAGTGTTTAGGTCACCAACTTGTAACCTGGCAGTCCCGGGTTCAAACCACTCCACTACCGCCTATCTTCCCCGTTTCTGTATTTTCCCAGACAGCCTGTGTATGGCCGTGGTCCCCTTCCTGAATGCTGACTGTACACTTGTATATTCAGTGAATTAAAAGGAAGTAAGAAGATGGACAGACAGACAAAGTAGAATGATTTCTCGTGTTGTACCAAAAGCTCATTTCACGGGCTATTTGTGGTTTCGCATGGATGATGATGGAAAGCTGTTTGGAGAAAAATTTGTTTCAATGGAGCGACAGGTGTGGATACACGAGTTGAAACGATCGAGTTTCCTGCTGAGTTATTGTTTTAAATGCAATAATAGAAAATCGAATTACGGAGTGGGAGTGGGGTGAGAAACGAGGGTCAGCATCCAACGAGTCAGAAAAGAGATTGTTTTTGAGAAATCGAATAATAACTGAGCTCCACAAATTGTGATTTTACCCCGAACAATTATGGGTCACTACATTACTGTGCCTCCTTTGCAAAGTTGGTTTACACGAAATAGACACATACGAATTGATATTGACGGAACGTTTTTTGGAATTTTATATTAGCGTAAAAATGACAGTTTTACTCGCATTGAGGCTCATCAGCGGTACACTTTATGAGGGAATACTCAGTCGGAACCAGTAATTTGGACCCCTCTCAAAGAAGACTGGCCACCGCTAAACACTTCAATCTTGCAAATATCAGAATCTCCTAGTCCAGTTTGTTCAGATGCCATGCTCAGTGTCAGCCAGTCAGTTTAGTTCATCAGGTAGCCGCAAACAGAGCACAGGAGGCTATTTGTTAAATCCAATGGAAAACATCATCCTAAATCAGGGCCTTCATTCACTGATGATTGGATGTGATCTGTCTAAATTGGCCACTAAACAATGGGAGGAATCTCATCCTTCTCACAATCTCGCTTGTCTGGAGCGCCATTAGAAAGGCATTTAGCAAATACTAACAGGATGCATCTCTTTGCGGAGGGAACTGTCATTTCAATAGAAAGAGGTCTTTATGACATAAGAAGCGGAAAATGTCGATGATTACCTTGCTATTTCCTAAGCTGCTATGGTGAAGCGGTAGAAGTTGGTACTACCGTATGAGCTCTCCATTATTTATAACACTTAGACTTCGAAACCATAACTGTCATAAAAGCCTGTCGGAAATTATAACCGCAGTTTTAGGGTACGCAATTGTTTGAGGTGATAATTCACAGTTCAGTTTCAAATTCAGTGGAACCGATCTGAAGTTGTATACACAAAGATGAAAGTTGCTTTAATTAAATGATTGGAGCGCAATGGACTATCGTAGTGATCTAGTATTGCAGGATAGCACCGCTCATCGAGTTGTTCCATGAAGCTTTCTATCGATAAATAGGAAAAACATAAGGAGGAACAGTGAAATTAATGGTTTGGTAATCAGTGATGCTGCACAAATAATGCTGTAAACGCTGCGTGGTCTATAGAGTTGCAATCGATGAGATCTCACTCATCACATGAGTAATACTAGATTAGCGCTATTAAAGTTGCAAGTTTGACAGGTGTAATGGGAGCATTATATTTCACTTGAAAGATTAAATCCGTTTAATTTTGAGATTTATTTATTTTGACCGATCTTAATGCATTTCGAATCTATAATTTAGTTGACCCAATATTTTCCCCGATTTTGTTGAACAGGTGCCAAAAGCGGGTTTTTGAACAGAGACTAAACGTAACTGGCGACAATAATTGTGTGTTACGGAATGATTGCTGAGTGGTAGGAAAACAATGATAACTAAATAATCGAAATTTTTAATCATTCCAGCGAATGAAGTTGCACAGAGTTGAAAGCAGTCTAATATTGAGTTACTGGTTTATTGTGCTATTGATTTTTTCGAAACATATATGGGGTCAGAAGAGAAACATTGTATTGTGCACGAGGTTTAATTATTCCCCTGGACCGTTATCTTCACCCAGTTTACTGCATAAATTGCTTATACTTGAATTGATGGGAACACAAAATTTAAACTCCGAAAAACATCTGGAACGCTTGTAAAAGGATCAACCTCTTGAGTGTTTGGAACCGATAATGTGAAGAAAAGAAAGCTGTAAAGAATTCAGGATAACAGTCAACAGATCAATAATACCTTTGTACTTTTACAGGAAGTTAATCATGCATGAAAGATAGCAACGATATTCACGGTATAAAATTTGTGTGTTCTTCCGAAACTCCCCGTTATTCTGTCTCATAAATACAATCCATTCTCACACAAGATTAGAGCTGAATTCATGAAGAACAATGTGGCACAAATGAGCGATTCGGGCCTGCTCGTATTTATACAGCTATGTATAACTTGGCCTCCATGGATGTGACGAACAATGTGACATATTTGTGCGGTACGAGGACCGTCAAAGAAACTTATACTATGAAATGTAATTCGTTGTACACTAGTCAAAATAATATGAAACGAGAGCCCGGAAAAATACCAGACAATTGTTTCAACCAGTTCAAAGTGACACACTTCACTCTGAATTTCATAAGTCCAACACAGGAATGCGACCCAAATTGATAGTTGTTGGTATCAATTAAACGAATAAGTAAACGGACAGTGAATTAGGTAGCTCGTTTATTTACTGCCGGTCTATAGTCTGGTGAGAAAACTAGGGTATCAACATGCAAGCAATTCACAAAGCGTGCGTGCATAAGCCAGAGCAGGTGTGCTATCAGAATGAGTTCAGGCGAGGCCGTCAACGAGTCAGTGAGAGTCAATCAGTGCGGAAGTTTCGGCACCGGCATTTGATTGGCCGAGGTGAATCGATTTTATCATGGAGTAATTCTGCATGACGTGCGTAACTACGGCATCGGCCAATCAATCAGTAATCCTATAGGCATGTACAGTACACATTTCGGTCGACTGCAGGTCAAAAACATTAGTAAGCCGGGGGATCAAGATGGTTAACTCACTCCATCCACCATAAAACAGATCATATCTTCTGTAACTTAATAGGAATGACCAACGGTGTTCCGTTTAGCATTAGGTTCCGATGTCTATGACAAAGTCCAAGGTGCTCGCATTATTGTGATTGTTCATCCGATCAACTGAATAGGAACGTTGTATTCGGGTTCTGAATTCTCGAGTTCTTTCTATCTTTGGGTAGATGAACTCGTACCTCAGATGCTATTCAGCCGATGAAATAACCTCTTAGGGTTTCCTCAGATATTATTTTTCCGTGTCATTTATTTCATCTGTCCCCAATTCCTGTTTTCCTTTGAAGTCCTAATACATGCACCTTCAGCATCTAACGAACAACAACAACTACTCGATGGAGTCTGAAAGTCCGCTAAGTTTTTTACAATCAGATCATGAGAACTATCTATAGGATAAAATTCCAAGAATTCAAATTCGAAACTGGTGATCAAACAACTATTTGCTGTTTAAAGAGGTTAAAGATGACCAACTCATTCTCTTTGGTTCTATGCACCATCTAACCCATGTGAGAGCTGGAACCGTTCCAGAGAAGAAGATTTTGATCAAAATATAATTTTAGTTAAATGACAGTGTGTCTAGAGAGCAAGGTTCACTGACCAGGGGGCTGGGGGAGATACATTAGCCCTGATGTAAATGTCTGATGAACTAATCCATCAGTGGGCCAAAATCACTACAGTTGCAGTTAGTTTCGTTCAACGAGTGTTTGTGTTTTCCTATCTTGCTATGAGAATGTTTAAATAAAAGAAAATGTAAACATGCAAAGATGTAGTAGCTTTAATTTCTCACGTTTAACCTGTTTTTCAACCTTGCTTACTTGCAACTGTCTGTCTGATACCAAGGTAACACTTAAACTCTGCTTGTTTATTCTTCCCGTATACCCCGTACATTGTATACACACAGAAGACCTGATTTGACGAAGGGTTTTCGATTTGAGTTCATAAGACATTTATCTCAAAAGAGGTCAGAATAAATACTAATTGATTCTCATCGTGAACGGCAGTAAAATAAATTGAAATTAGTTATCCCTGTTGTTATAATTCCAGAATGCGGTGCTGGTGGAGGTTAACTTTTCATTGATGATTTTAGATGGGACATCACCAATTTGGCATATATAACACAAAAATCTCATCAGAAACATACCATCACAGTTCCTGGCCGATTAACGGGTAATGCGTGTAGCAGTCGATAGTTATTCTTTGAGATACAGCAATTTGCCCTCGGTGATTATGTTGATCTTTTATCGTTGAAATAAATCACCAACTATGTTACTTACTACTCACAAATGAGTAGTATCTCACAATGCTGCGAGTTCCATTGTGAACTAATGATCCCAGTGGTCACCTTATATGTAAAGAAAGGATTGGGGTGGGGTCGGGCTCAAACGACAGATGGACTGGGAAATGTGCCTTATTATTGACACTATGATCCATTCCGAGTGTACGTTCGACTGGACAACTTGGCTGTTGTGCACGAGTACAGAGGTTGATGGGACAATAACTCGTTATTATTTCTTATTCCACAACGCTACTCATAAGTAGTTGCGTGTCGAATTGTAAATGTTTCGGATACGTTACACAAAGACTCACTGCGACTGGACGACCGAGGAATTTGGTTTTTCTGACCATTTCTGATTTCGATATTCCTTGTCCGGTTGAACTGAGATCCGTGCTTGAAGTTGTCTGATTTCGGAGCGAATAGGAAGTCTCGGTATCCGAACCTGCGATTGGTGTTACCTGTAAAGTATAAGGTTAGTCACCGGGGCAATTTTAGTACCACACCCAATGTGCCCGGACGGTCGTGTCTTCGACATCACGTAACATTTCAACGCACTTCGAACACTCACATTCATCAATTACAACCATAATTCATCAGAAACCTAACACGCTCATTTTCACAGTCAACTCCCGTTTATTACGGGAAGGGTGGCATAGTTGCTTGCAAAAATCATCACACTACAATGAAATACAAGTGGTCAACCAGTTCGTAGGTGATACCGCCCGATTGAAAGTTGTGAAGTGTACGATATTATCTGCCATTTATAATTTTGGCAGGAAAAATGAAAAATAACATAACGAGTCACGTTTTGCTGAAAGTAGTATTCAAAATACAAAAAGCTTACAATGTTTAATCAGACAGGTGTGCAAAAGAAGTCGAATCAAAATGCGCGTTGATAGTTGATAGCTTGAAACCATGTGACGTTCCTTTTATAAATTTCGTCGGAACTAAACGGAATCAGCTGTATTGTGTTCAGTGCATTTGCAAGGTAGACGATTCTCCTGTAACCGTGACAGATTTTCAGCTCAATGTAAAATCTAAAACCCAGTGAAACGAAACGCGACCGATTTATTTGTTCTCATTCTTTACTTATTAACAGCTAACAGATTCAATCAATACTGGTAACATAGTACCTTGAGATAGAACTGTTTACCCAGTCCACGTTATGGAATCCATCGTAGATGATATCACGTAAAATCTTTGGGATGGTCAAATAGAAGTTTATAGGTATGAATGGCATATAAATTTCTTTTATTGATATTAAAAGAACAGAAATACTCCTACTAAATACTAGGATAAATTTCAACGAAAGGTTTTCTTCACACCTATTTATGATAAAAACGTAACGGAATTTTATTCCACGTATTATCTGTCACATATCTTGGAGGGGATGACAGGTGGAAGTAGTAAAACCCACAGTTATGAGGACCTGTTTTGCGTTAAGGAAAACGGTAGCATAAGAATATCGAGTTGCAAAATATAGAACGGTCTGCGATAAAATTAGCATGGCATCAGCGAAGTCGCAGGGTTTGAATTTTCGATGGTGTCACTGATAACATTTTAGATTGCTTGAATAATAAAATACAAATGCATTAATCGAACGAAGCTGTTTGTTTTTCATGCAACCGATTCTGTGTTTCGATATATCTAAGCAGTTTTGAACGGACCCTTGGAGGAATGCCCAATAACTTTAGTTAATTTCAGTAGTTCACTGATTGCATAGTTTTGTTCAACCTCCGTATTTATTCTAGTTAACAGTTACGCACAGATATAGTAACGTGCAAATTGAATGAACCGTAGGGTTGTGAAGTGGGCTCGATTGTCATCGAGCCCACTTTTCTTATCATTCGTTGATATTGAAACCTGAGGTTTGTAAATAATTTCACTTACATTGGTTACACAAATTAATGAAGAGTGAGGTCTTAACAACCGAACTGATATACGGTTTATGAATTTTGGCTGTGACGTAGAGAACACATTTAAAACATCCAACACTTGATTTCGCTTGCCATTTAGCGTTAGAAAGACTGAATGCGGTGCGATTGCCTCACGGTTTTCCGGTAGGCATCCTTACTGCTCTGGGGGAAAACAGAATGAGCTCACTAAAATGAAGTTCTTTGATGTACTCTAAAACTGCAGGAATTCCATGCACTTGGGAGAGTAACAGTCGCTTTTGCCTGAAACCATTTGGTGTGAACAGGCTGATTTTTCTGCTATGTGGTCACAATATTCGGCCGGGTTCAGTTTGCAAGACCCTGTTAAAACAACTGAATGAGTTTTGGAATTCGAGCAAAATCAATGCATAGTTTTTTGATGTGCTAGTTTCCTGTTGTGACTGTACATTTTCCCCTACCCCATTGCAAGTGAATCTGAAAACTCCTTGTATAGAATTGGTGTTAGGGTCCTGTAGGAGCTTGATTTATCATGACAGCAAACCTAACCCGGGATGAGTGTGCACAATGCTGTCCGGCAGTTAGTACACATTGAAGACATTGGTGCCTTCATGGATTTGAAGCTGGGGAAACTACAAACTGTCCTGTTCAGGCAAGTCAAACCATACAGTTCGCTTTTAGCTCAACCCAATGAGAATATTGAGCTCAATGAGCTGCTGATCTGGCCAGTGTTTGGATTTTGATTACATCTTAAACAAAACTAGGAGCAGGATGACTCATCTTGTATTTGGGGAATTGAGAAAAACAAACGTTCTTCAATAGGGCAAGCCTGTTCACAAGTATTGCTTAAGTCGATCTAACTAAAGGAGAGAACGAAATGCGGTATTGCAATTCGATTTACCGTTGAAATATATAATGAGGCACTGATCTTGTACTGGTTATAATAACCACAGGAGTGGGCAGAGGATGAGGTGTTAGGAAGCGACAATCACGGGTAAGAAATATTGTTTTCTTTTCAGCCAGTGCGCTTGGATTAATTTGGTGCAGAAAGTTTCATCTGGGATGTGAAGGATTAATTGCCCACATATCACACAGATTACTGATCAGTTTTGGAAGCACTCCAAAACTGTTTCACTCTCACCCGAAGTCGTTAGTAGTGTTTATCCACTCGAATTGTAGTGTTACCAATCTTAGACTACACGAGTTGACAACAGCGTTAGATTACAAGTCAACACTGAAGGATGTGAACTCAGGTCACGGAATCAGATTTCGCCATACTGCACTGTTCATACATGATCAAAGGGACAAGGTCTGCAATATAGTGGAAATATAAATACAGAAAGATATTCTGTTGGGTAGAATAAAGAAAATTAATTAACCATTTGACTGTAAGCTACGACAACTTTTGTTTAGTTTCTAACCAGTGAACAACGTAAATTAAGAAAAACACTTTTACAAACTTCAACAACTTTCAAAAACTTCAACAAACTTCAGTGAAATGAGTTTTATTTGGGGAGAAAAAAGAACTATTTTGGGTCATCCGACTCCAAAATGAGCTCAGTCTAGTTGTTCAAACCACTTCAGCTGAGTTCCAGATCCGATCGATAGTATTTTCAAATCTAGAGAGGCTAACCTAAAACGGTCTTCGTTTGCTATGTATGAGCGCAAAAACTCCCTCTTGCAAGTCGAACTCATCCTTGCGGCTTCGATTTGTGAAAACCCATATACAAGGCATAAAATGAATCGATTTTTGTACCACACTTCAGTGGCGGATAAATAAAGGGGTTCGATTGTGATATCACTTCTCGCTGAGACACATCTATTTGTGTTGTGTGAATGTCACTTTGTGGGAGTTTGTTTGTTGCGCAACTACTGAAGAGATCATATTCACAGTGCAATCTTTGATTTGATTGAGGGTCAATGAAAAGCACTAAGTGGCTGTCATTGCTAGTGGTCTTTGCTGGGACAGTACGTTTGTCTTGTGATTCTGTCTGGACTTGAATCAAAGGCTTTCGGATTAAAAGAAGGTACCCTTGTTTCCGAGTGATAGAGGGTCTCATTCATTATTAACAGTGAATGAAATTCGAATTAACAGAAACTGAACTGATTGGAATTTTGTAAAACAAAAATGACCAATATTTAATTACTCGGAATTTCGAGTAACATTTAGCTCTAATGTATTGCAAAATATATTCAGCCTTTAGAAAACCAATATCAAGAGATTGTCAAATCTTTTGTGTACCCCAAAATAACAAAGAAGGAAAAATGAGGGCACGAAAACAACTAGTTTCCTTTGGAAAATGATGTTTGAACCGAATTTGAATTAGTATTGCTTGTCAGACCTGGTGGGAACTGCTGAGCTTAGTTATAACCCTCACTTGTTCCATGCGGTTAATCCGGAGTTCAAACCCGGGGTGCGATGGTGAATATGAGTTATGGATGAGCACTAAAAGAAAGGAAAGTAAAGTCTATTGCTTTCTGAGTGTACGCTTGGCGGGATGAAATGGAGATTTTACTTGAAGATGAATTCAGAAGGAACATCAGTCCTATCCCACGCCGTTATTCATAAATATTTATGTGAAACTTAATGTATTTCAATTGAAGGAAGAGAATTTTCAAGCTAGTTTCCTTCTTTCTGCAAAAATATCTGACTTGTCAACCAACGTTTTCGGAACACATTCGAAGAAAGAATTTGGTGTACTTTATAATCCACCAACTACGTGCTCTCCTGCTTGGTTTGCATGTGAAATCAAACGAGGTACGGATTTCTGACTCGCCAGGCTAAATCAAAAGATGGAGACATTTGGTTCACTAATGTACTCATTTTCCGAAACAGTATAACTTGGTCCCTACATCTAGAACAAGAGGACGTTTAACGCATTATTTATCAATTTAACCCGTTAGGTAATTGATTGTTGACTAGTAAAATTCACCCATTTAATTTTAGAATAATCATGCTTGAAATTAATCGTAATTCCTTAAGACAGGGACAAATGTTCGATTCCATCGATCGCTTCATGTTATAAAACAAACAATAAAAGAATATTTCTGGTTAGGGCGTTAA